GGGGGCGCTGGGGGGCAGCAACAGGAGACCTCTTTGGCACTGGCCCGGGGCCACGGCCAATGACCAACGCGACGGTGCCAGCTCCTTCCTTCTGCCAGCGCACCGCAGCCCACGCTTACCCCTAACCCGTACATAGGCATCTCACGCTTCTCGCAGCTTTTACAGCCGCAAACCAGCCAGCCGAGCTGCTTGAACAACCGTACCGCCAGACAATGTGGGGGGGCGGGCTGTTGGGCTTTTATGTGGTGGAAGGGGGCGAGACTCACCAACAAGGCCGCCGCCGCTGGAAGACGCAAGCCTCCCACCACCGGGTGGGGAACCCCGACAGGTTCCCCAGCCCGGCCGTGGGTATTCGTCGCCCCGCCTCGGTGGGTGAGGGTACCGGGGCTCCACCTGGGGGCCCCTCGCCGGGTTCCCCTATGGGCGGTGGGAGAGGCTCTTGCGCTTTCCACCTTGGCGCGAATGGCCGCCGCGCACGTTGCGCCGCAAGCCTCCTCCCACATGTTGCCAACCATGTCGCTTTAATTCGGGGAGTGGTGCGTCATCTTGGGTGGGTGGAGGGGGCCGCTCACCACACGGCCACCGCCCTAAAAAGCGCAAACTTCCCCCACGCCTGGTGGAACCCCACGGACGCCACCAGTTCACCGTTCAGGAGCCCTAGGCCTGCTTCGCCGGTGAGGATCCCCGTCGTCGCACAGGCGCCCCCCCCACTACCTTCCTATAGCTAGGGGGAGGCATTTACGCTTTCCCACTTGGCGAGCGAGGCCGCACCTGCCGCGCTCACCTTACCAAAAACTACCGTCACCGCCACTGTGCCACCGCCGCTGCCAACCGCCAGGTATCCTCCTCCTCCTCCTCCTCCTCCTCCTCCTCCTCCTCCTCTCCCTCTTGTGGTTATTGTGTTCCCTTTTCCGTCACTTCTTCCTCGTTTGTCTGCCCCTTTTCCGCGCCTGGAGTCGCCTGGCTTTCTAGTTTGATTATACCCCTAAGGGCGACCGCCCCTGGGGGGGGATGGCAGCGTTCGATAAGTTGTCAGGCCGAGAGAGAGAGAGAGAGTGAGAGAGAGAGAGGAGAAGGAGGAGGAGGATGAGGAAGTGGAGGGATATCACGAGGAGGAAGAGGAGGAGGAGGAGTAGGAGGAGGAGGATGAGAAGGAGTAGGAGGAGGGTATGCGGAGAAGGAAAGGGAGGATGACGATGATGACGATGACGATGACGATGACAAAGATGATGGTGTTGATGATGATGATGATGATGATGATGATGATGATGATGATGATGATGATGATGATGATGATGATGATGATGATGATGAAGAGTATGGTGATGAGGATTATGATTGTGATTATGGTTGGGATGATGTTGATCCTGATGCTGACGATGATGTTGAAGATGGTGAGAACGATCAGGATGATGACGTTGATGATGATGACGATGTTGATGGGGATGATGATGATGATGATGGTGATGATGATGATGATGATGATGATGATGTTGACAATGATACTGATACTGATGATCATGATGGTGGTGGCTGTTGATGGTGCTGGTGATGCTGATGATGATGATGATGATGATGATGATGATGATGATGATGATGATGATGATGATGATGGTGGTGGTGGTGATGATGCCAATGATGATGAGAAGGGACGGGAGGAGGAGGAGGAGGAGGAGGAGATCGTGTGTCGAAGCTTTCTCCCAGTTGTGCAGTGGTCCTGCCATTTCATGTGCCAAGGGGGGCAAGCCGACCAGCCGACCAGACCCTGGCCAGGTCAAACGACAGCACAGCGAAATCCATGTCCTGGCGGTGCTTTCACACTTTTCTGCCCAGCCAGTGCCTGCTTACTTGCTTTTGCTCCCCTGGTTTGTTTGATTGATGTCGCCCGCAGGCATGGACGCAAAGATGACCTCGCCTCGCGCTATGGACCTGAGAGTTTGCCTTCTCCTGTGCGGCCGCGCCAGGGCGCCGATATATTTGCGTCTTGCGCAGCGCGAGGCGCGAAGTTAGTTGACTTAGTTCGGCTGGCGGTGCTACCTGTGGTCCCAGGTCTGCAATCTGGTCTGGTCCGAGGGAGCCGACGAGCTGCTGAGCTCCCACGGCTACTGGAGCAACGAGGTCGCCCTGTGGCGGCGTGGCGACATGTCCAGGGTTGCCGTCCTGCCCGGCCACAGCCGCCGCGTGGTGCACCTTGCAGTCTCGCCAGATGGGCGGACAATCGTCACGGGGACCTCCAGGCCTCATAAACAAAGGTAAGGTAACTGAGGACCCCAGATCGCAGCGGAGCGCCGACATGTGGCGCGATCTTGAATTTCTATTTTAGCCAGACGTCGCCGATGCATCGTCGAAGCATCGGCGAGGTGTTGCTATTTGGGGTCTCCGTTGGCTCCAGCCCCATTCGGGGGGCCTCCAGGACTGGGGACGAGATGCTCCGGTTCTGGAACATGTGCCCAGGTCCAAGGCTGCGAGCAGGCCAGCAGTGCTTTGAGACTGCCTCCTGCCTGACGCGCACGATTCGCTGACCCTCAGCCGTGCCTCCATGCAGCCATCCTCCCTTCTGTTTTTGTTTGTGCCACACTCACGCCGACAAACGGCTTCGAATCCGATCACAAGTGTGTGATGTGTGACATCCACCAGTCAGTTTGCTTGTAGATATTGGAGCATTGGAAGCTGAACGCAGGTCTGATACAGGCCTTCCCGCGCTCAATCCGATTAGACACGAATTCAGCGTCGAACAGCGACGACATCGACACACTATTGCACAACCACTCGCGAGGACTGTCGGGCAATGCCGTACCTAGTTTTGTCAGCCTCGCCACCACGCGCAGTAGGATAGGCGAGCGGGCTTCTCTCGAGAACGTGCGCGGCCATAGCAAGAGTCTGCCGATGCGCATGCGGGGGGAGCCATATCTCATTCTCAGGGACGCGCGGCACACGTTGAGGGTGCCAACGGCCATGTAGTTGGGATCTGCAGCAAAAGTCTGCAGGCGACCGCTGGTGACCCCTAGGAAGCGCGTGCGGGTCGAAACAACACAGTCAACACGCATGCGCGCGTAACGCGTCAGGACGCGATTCGAGTTCCATCCCAGGAATGCTTCGTCGGGCACCAGCTGCCGCCTCTCTCTTCATTAGACGGGTTGATTCAGGCGATCGAGTTAATGACCCTCGCGTTCACGAATCACCAGACAGCAACGTGTGCAGAACAGCTGGATCCCTTGCTAGTCTCCCTGTTGGCGCCCACTCTGGTGTACTGTTAGCTTGGATGTTTGTGTTGAGGAAGATGAGGAGTGCAACCGACAGATTCCACCGCTGAGGCGAAACAGAAGAGCGGCCACGCAAATCAGGCTCCGCCGTTCTCAGTGAATCGTGGCCCTGGAGACGAGAGCAGCTGCACAGGGGAAGCATGGGGCTCCTTCCCCTCTCTATATTATCCTTTATCTTTTTTATGCGTTCTTGTCCGCTCGTTTCCCTTCTCGTGTTTCCCCAAGCTGTTCTTGCACTTAGGGGTTCTTACTTCTACTCTAAGGAGCTGGGCCGTGTGGCCAGTCTGCCGGCTATGTTGTCGCCATCGCCGCCCCGTCGCCGCCTCGTCGCCGCCCGTTGTCTAAGCAGTGTGGCCGGTGTGGCAGCTATGTTGTCGCCGTTGCCGGCCGCCTTGTCGCGGCGGCTGGATTGCAGCACGTATATAGCACGAGAAAACTTCTCGCCTGCGGCGCGCTTTTAGATCGCTCAGAACGTAGATGGCGCCACGCATACGGTACAACATAGATTCTCCTTTCTAAAAAGAGACTCTACCCCCTCCCCCCGGACTTAACGCTTCCCCCTGGGATAGTATAATTTCATATATATATATATATTCTGCACATTCGTCCATCCTAAATATGAAATCATACCATCCCAGGCAGGCCGGGTTCCCCCCTCCCTGAGGTTCCCTTGTAAAAAAACACAATGCGGTGACATTTTTTGTTCTAGCATAGCACTTTTTCACGAATCCCTTGCAAAAAAACGATACGAAGTGCACACGCGCGCGTCGTCGCGCGCGCATGCCGCTCGGTGCCGGAAGGATTTCGCAATCGAGTTTCCAAAACAACACATACAAAAACACATGGTTTCGCAGCACTGATTTGCAAAAAAAGCTTCCGCGCGAGCTCTTGCGAAATCTTAAGAAAACCATAGGTTTTTCAAGATTTTCACAAAATGCTACCAAACGGGCTTCGTGCGCGCGCATGTCGAAATCTGTCGAACGCCCTTGCGCGTGTGCCGTCGCGAGAATCCTGTGCAAAAAATGGGACGAAGTGCAGACGCGCGCGTGGTCGCGCGCGTACGCCGAAATCCTTCAAAACCCATCGGTTTCGGAAGGATTTCGAAATCGCGCGTCCAAAAAACCTACAAAAACCCAAGGTTTCGCAACACGGATTTTCAACAAAAGCGTGCGCGCGCGCTCTTGCGTCGTCGTCGTCGTCGTCGTCGTCGCCGTCCTCCCTCCTCCCGCGTCGTTGTCGTCGTCGTCGTCGCCTACGTCGTCCTCTGTCTTTCCTCGTGTTCGTCGTCGTCGTCCTCTTTGGCGTCGTGGTCGTTTCCATCGTCGTTGTCGCCGTGGTCGTCCTTCCTCCTCCTCCCTCGTCGTCGTCGTCGGCTCGTCGTCGTCCCTCCTATTTCGTCGCCGTCGTCGTCGTCGTCGTTGTCGTCGTCGTCGTCGTCGTCGTCGTCGTCTTCCCTCCTCCCTCGTCGTTGCCGTCGTCGGCCTCGCCGTCCTTCCTCCTTCTTCGTCGTTCTCGTCGTCGCCGTCCTCCCTCCTCCGTCGTCGTTGTCGTCGTTGTCGCCGTTGTCGCCGTCGTCGTCCTCCCTCCTCCCTCGTCGTCGTCTTCGTTGGCGACGTCGTCGTCGTCTTCGTCGTCGTCGTCGGCGTCGGCGTTCTCGTCGTCTTCGTCGTCGTTGGCGTCGTCGTCGTCGATTCGATTCGATTCGCGGGGCCACGAAGGCGAATCCAGGCGAGCGGGCTACTCGCCCGAGCACTCGCCGCCAGGGCTCAGGCCGCGGCCGCGCCGCGGGCGGTCGCGGCGGTCCTCCGCGGTGGAGCTGGCGGCCAGCGCCCGCTCGGCGAGGCACTGCTCGATCTGGCCGCACGCGGCCAGCATGGCGAACCGCGGGTCGATGCCCGCCACCACCTGCAGCACCGCCGCCGACGGCCGCGTCGTTGGCCCCTGCTCGCGGCCGCCTGCACACCCAGGCGCTGCCGCTGAACTGCCACATGCTGGGGGGGGGCCCTCTTCCACCTCGAGGCCCAGCCAGGCCAGGAAGGCCTCCTGGGCCGACGGGGGCAGTGGCCCCTGCAGCCTCAGCGCGGGGAACTCAGCACCTTTCTTCATGCGCTGCTGGACTCCTCCGCGCGGCCGTCCACTAGGATGAAGCCCTCGAGCCCGGAGGCGGCGCTGGCTGCGCTGCCCGATGGCCCTTGCCCCGATGCATGGCTCCTTGAGCTGAGGGCGGCCTCCAGCGCGGCCGCCGAGGACCATGCAGGCGCCGCACATGCTGCACGCCACCAGCTCCTGGGGCTCCTCGCCCGCGTCGCGGAGCGCGTACGCCAGGGAGTGGCCGAGGTGGCCGGCGCCAGCCGTGGCGAGGGAGAGGCCGACCGCGCTGGCCACCGAGCGGACGCTCTCAACGCGCGGCTGCTGCACCGTCGGCCTGCCTGCAGCGGCCTGCTCGGCCCGCTCCTCCTGGTCGGCGAACCTCACCCACTGCCTCTCGTCGGACCCGAGGAGGCAGTCACCGTCCTTCTCCGCGATGTCCCGCCAGACGACGGCCGCCTCGGCGCGCAGCCGTGCTCCCAGCTCGGCGGAGCAGCGGGCGCGCAGGGTGCCGCGCCACTGCGCCTCCGTGCGTAGCCCGTCGAGCACCGCCTGCCTGTTGCCGTGGGCGGCCACCTTGTTCGCCCTGGAGCCACCAGGTCCGAGGGCGGCGGGGCACCTCCAGGGGTGGGCGTTGGCCTTGGTCGGGCCCGTCGCAACGGCCAGCTCCCTGTGCTGGCTCTCCGCCGTGCCGCGGAAGCCGATGAGGGCCTCCTCGACGGCATGGCCCGCGTAGATCACAAACCTCCAGACCGCGAAGTCCTCGCCGCCACGGGCAGCCTGCTGTGGCTGGGGGGCCCTCCTGACGGTCCCGTGGGCGCCCGCGACGAGGCTGCCGTCGTCGTCGCATTGAGCAATAGCCCAGCCCGCGTGTCCCCAGGCGTAGAATTGCAGGTCGACCGACGAGCCGTCCACGCACAACTTGCCATTGGCCTTGACGTCGGGCGGCCTGCATGTCCTCCAGCTGCCCATGGCGTCCGTGCGAGGCCCTTGTGGGGGCGGCGGCGCAGACAACCCGCGCCGAGCAACGTCCTCCCCTGCTGCCACTCCGAGGGGGCGAACCCGCACGGCGCTCCACGCCAGCGCTGGCGAGACCGAGTCCCTCCGCGGGGCCGCAGGCATGTGGCACTCGACCCTGCTGTGGAGCCTCGCCTGCGGCCAGTGCGCGTTCGTGAGGTGGGAGACCAGCCCGCTCCTCTGGCGCTCGCCGAGCTCGCCTCCTGGCCCGATGAGCTCCCTGCAGGCATCCCAAGAGGAGGAGCCACACAAAGACGGGGCCGTGGCCAGCTTCCGCATCTCATGCCGACCCGAGGCGCGCCTCGCCCCTAGGCTGGCCTCTGGGCCAAGCTCACGAAGCCCCATCAGCGTCATGTCCCGCACGTCCGTGATGAGGCACTGCTCGGACCTGAAGTGCCAGCCGATGCTGCCCAGGGTGAGGACAGCTGCATCCACGGGGAAGTCGCGGTGCGCCCAGGGCTGCGCTGCTGACGCCTGCGGCGGCGCTGCAGCCTCGGGCGCTCCTCTGAGCATCGGCGTGGGGAGCTCGCCCGAGTGCAACCATCCTGCAAGACAATGGAGCGCGCAGTCCGTGATCAGCACGGGCGGATCCAGGTCGATGGCGCTGCGGGGCTCCCCGCGCCGCAGCCTGAGGCCGAAGGCGGCGCCGCGGGTGAGCCGCCCCAAGCAGGGGCACGCGGTGACTCGCCCCCCGCGCAACTCTCCGTCAGCTTCACCAGTAACCGTCCGCCCCCATGCCACACTGGACGTAGGCCCAGCCTCGTGGATCGGGTCCTCGGCGATCAGGTGCGCGTCCTCCCGCGCGCTGCAGGCCTCGAGCGCCTCCAAGGCACGGTCACTTGTGTTGCCGTAGATGTCCAGCACGTCGAAGCCTGCACGGAGCGGCCCAGCCACCTTCTCACAGGCTGGCACAGCCCTGCCCGCTCTCATCTCAAGGGCGGCTGGCGTGAACCCGGCGGCGGCTCCGCGACTCCCATGGGGCGGGGCGGACGGCTGCGACGTCGGAGGGCTGAATCCTCCCGCCGTCTGCCCGCTCGAGGCCGTCGGGGGGGCGCCTCGGCGGTCCCGACCGCACCTCGGCCCAGGAGCGGACCCGCCTTGCCGCCGTGGCTCCCCTCGCGTCAGGTGCAAGGTCGGCCAGTCTGACGGCGGCGGAGGCGGCGCGGGTCCCCAGGCTGTCGCCGCTGCCGAGCGGCTAGGAGCGACGAGGGCCCATAGGAGCGTAGCCCCCAGCAGCTGCCAGGGTAGCCAAGGCCTGGCCGTCCTCGTGCTCGTCCCTGGCATCCTCAAGGATCCTGCGCTCGGCCTTGCCAGGCTGGGGCCAGGTGCCGAGCGCCGCGCCTGACTGCCCGCGGGCGGCGGCTGGCCCGTAGGGCCCCACTGCTGGGCTCGCCCGCTGGGTGGGCGGGCCTGGCCGCGCCTGCTGCCCCGCGGCCTCCGCTGGCGGCCGCTGCACTGCGGGGGCGGAGGCTCCAGCGGCCGGGGCGGGGGGGCCTTCCTCGTCGTCGACGGCAAGCCCGTCCCCGCCGAGGCCGTCGGCCCAGCGCGAGGCTGCGGCAGCAGGCGCAGCGGGGTGGAGCATGTCCGAGATGGCTGCACTCTGCGTGGCAATGATGCCCATGATTTCCAGGAGCCTGGGCGCGACGCCGTCCGCGTTGCGGCCGAGCATCTCCCCCAGCTGGCTGACCTGGGTGACGAGGCCCCCGACCGCGGTCTCCAGGGGCTGCTGGCCTCCGCACACCTCGATGGCCCGCTGGAGCGCCTGCTGGACTGTCTGAGCCTTCGACTCCTCGAGCTTGACGAGCAGGCTGTCAAAGCCCTCGACCGCGGACTCCGTCTCGGCCAGCTCTTCCTGTATCGCCGCAATCCTCCCTCTGAGGGAGTCAGCCCGCTGCACGGCCTGCTCGCGCTTGGCTCTGGTTGCAGCGATCTGCTTCTCGACCTTCTGCATGGCGTTGGCGCCGCCGTGGAGGACGGCGTGGGGGGGCCTCCCGAGCCGCTGGGCAACGCGGAGCTCGGCCTCTGCCCCCTCGGCCGAGGCCTCCGCCGCGAGGAGGGCCGCCCTGGCCTCTCGCTGGAAGGCCTCGCTGGTCTCCTCCATGGCGACCGCCTCGCGGACGCGAGCCTGGGCTTCCTCGAGCCTGCGCTCCAGACTCGACGCTGGCTCCTCTGGCTGCTCCCCGCGCTCCTCGCGCCAAGGCGGCGGCTTGGCACCGCCCCGCGGCCGCCCCCTGCTGTTGGGCGCGCTGCTCGGCACGGTGCTGGCGGCCGAGGCTGTCCTGGAGGCGTCACCCGCTCGGCGTGCTGCACGCTGGTGCGAGCGCCCTCTGGGCTGCTGGACGAAGCCCTCACCGTCGGCCTGGGGCAGGTGCGCCGCGCGCAGGCGCTTCGCCCACGCTGGCGCCTCCTTCCCGCACGACTTGCAGGTCGCCCGCCTGTCGCACCAGTTCCACTCCTTGCACTGGCAGACCCAGTGCACCCTGCGCCGCGGCGCTCCAGTCCCGTCGCCCGACATGGCTGCTGGCCCCGCGCGATCCGCCTGGCCACGCTGCACCGAAGAAACGAAGCAAGAAGCTGGCCCAGGGCGCGGCGTCCCTCGCGCTCGACAGCGCCCGAAGGACTTGCGGTCGTCGGGATCGCCATGGCCTTGAGCCAAAATGGCTACGGAGGCGTCGTCGTCGTCGTCGTCGTCGTCGTCGTCGTCGTCGTCGTCGTCGTCGTCGTCGTCGTCGTCGTCGTCGTTCGTCGTCGTCGTCGTCGGCGTCGTCGTCGTCGTCGTCGTCGTCGTTGTCATCGTCGTCGTCGGCGTCGGCGTCGTCGTCGTGGTCGGTGTCGTCGTCGTCGTCGTCGTTGTCGGCGTCGTCGAAGTCGTTGGAGACGTCGTCGGTGTCGTCGTAGTCGTTGTCGGCGGCGTCGTCGTCGTCGTTGTCGCTGTCGTCGTCGGCGTCGCTGTCGTTGGCAAGTGCAATTTGGTACCCACCGTCACGGTCTTGAGAGATTTTGCGGACCAAGTTGCGGGTGGGTGGGTGGGATGTTTGCGCGAGCAGTGGAGTGGTCAAGCGCGGTGCAGGGTAGTCAATTGCACCGCATAGATGGCATCCCATACGTTGCTTCACGCATAGTGCACAACATAGATCGTAGCACCTCCATTCTCTTTGTAAAAAGAAGTATGGTCAACCTCACCCCCGGCCTTAACTGTAGACATTTTCGTATTGGTTTTCGTATATGATACTGCACGTCCGTCCATCGCTAATATGAATTCATACCATCCCAGGCAGTCCCTCGTAGACCCCCTCATCGTGTTCTGCAAAGAAACACTATGCTCGCGCACTCGTGTCTCACAAAGTGTCAGTTTCCAAAAATCCCTTGCAAAACGTGGGGCTAAGTTTACACGCGCGCGTCGTGGTGCGCGCATGCCGACATGTTTTTCGACTTTCCCGAACATATAACTATAACTGAGTTCTGGTTTCGCATAAGAATGTTGCAAAAGCCTGCACTCGTGCTCGTGCGAATTCTCAAGGGAACCATTGCTTGTTCAACATGTCAATCACAAGTTACCAGACGTGCCTCTTGCGCGCGCGTGTCGAAATCATTCGAGCGCCCTCGCGCGCATGTTGTCGCAACAATCCCTTGCAACATGCGGGACGAAGTACAGCCGCACGAGTTGTCGCGCGCGCGCATGTCGGTTTGTTCCCAACCATCTTGTGGTGGTGGGTCTTCGTTTTGAAGAAACGGTCCCCGCGTTTCTCAATGTGTCCTTCCTTCCTTCCTTCCTTCCTTCTCCCCCTCCTCCTCCCTCCTCCATCATCATCGTCATCGCCCGTTTCAGCACACCCCTCACACGTTTCGTGGCCCTATAAGGTGCTCCACCGAAGGCCCAAGTGTGCGTCACCCCCAACTAGTACAGCGTTTCGTGGCCCCATACGGACCTCCACCGAAGTCCCCAGTGGCACCGCCCGCATGCGTTCCCCTCCACCCAGTTCAGCGTTCCGTTGCCCCATGGGGAGCTCCACCGGTGGCCCAAGTGGCACCGCCCGCATGCATCACTCCCACCCAGTACAGCGCTTCGTTGCCCCATAGGGAGCTCCTGCCGCAGTGGCACCGCCCGCATGCGTCACCCCCACCCAGTACAGCGCTTCGTGGCCCCATATGTAGCTCCACCGAAGTCTTCAGTTGCACCGCGCGCAGGCGTCACCCCCACCCAGTACAGCGCTTCGTGGCCCCATGGGGAGCTCCACCGATGGCCCCAGCCACACCGCCCGCATGCGTCACCTCCACTCAGTACAGCGCTTCGTAGCCCCATGGGGAACTCCACCGAAGGCCACAGTGGCACCGCCCGCATCCGTCACCCCAACCCAGTACAGCGCTTCGTGTTCCCATAGGGAACTCCGCCGAAGACCCCATTGCCACCGCTCGCATGCGTCACCCCCACCCCGCACACAACTTCGAATCATAGTGAGCTCCACCGAAGGCCCCAGTGGCACCGCCCGCATGCGTCACCCCATTCCAGTCGAGCGCTTCGTGTTCCCATAGGGAGCTCCACCGGTGGCCCCAGTGGCACCGCCCGCAGGCGTCAGCGCTTCGTGGTTCCATAGGGAGCTCCACCGAAGGCCCCGGTGGCACCGCCCGCATGCGTCACACCCACTCAATACAGCGTTTCGTGGCCCCATATGGGAGCTCCACCGAAGGCCCCAGTGGCACCGCCCGCATGCGTCACCCCCAGGCTGTACAGCGCTTCGTGGCCCCATCGGGAGCTCCACCGAAGGCCGCAGTGCCACCGCCCGCATGCGTCATTCTCCACCCAGTACAGCGTTCCGTGGCCCCATAGGCAGCTCCACCGAAGCCCCCAGTGGCACCGCCCGCAGGCGTCACTCCCCACACAGCATTGTGTTTCGTGGCCCCATAGGGAGCTCCACCGAAGTCCACAATGGGACCGCCCGCGTCCGTCACTCCCCACACAGTATTGCGCTTCGTGGCCCCATAGGGAGCTCTACCGAAGGCTCCAGCTGCACCGCCCGCATGCGTCACCTCCACCCACTTCAGCGCTTCGTGGCCCCATAGGGGGCTCCACCGAAGGTTCCATTGGATGCACTCGCACGCGGTTCCCCTACCCAGTGCAGCGTTTCGTGGCCCCACATGGGAGCTCCACCGAAGGCCCCAGTGGCGGTGTTCGCATGCGTTCCCCCCACCCAGCACAGCGCTTCGTGCCCTCATGGGGAGCTGCACCGAAGGCCTCGGTGGCTTTACTCGTATGCATTTCCCCCACCCATTATATTGCTTCGTTGCCCCATAAGGAGCTCCACCGAAGGCCCCAGTGGCGGCCTGCCCCACTGCGGCGCACCCCTCACACTCTTCGCGTGCCCGTAGTGCGTTCCGCCTAAAGCAACAGTGGCAGCGCCTTTATGGCGGCCCCGCCCCACATCGGCACACCCTTCGCATGTTTCATGGCCCCATGCCATGAGGAGGTCCTCCGAAGGCGATACCCGCAACGATGCTACTCACAACTGCATATGTTTTGGTCCTTCGCCCGTACAATGTTTTAAATAAGGTTCCGAAAGGATTGCAATATCGAGCGCCCCGAAAACATATTAATACCGCATGGTTTTTTGCAACATCGATCTTCAAAGAAGTTCTGCGCGCGTGCTCTTGCGAGTTCTTGAGGACTGGAGTCTTTTTCAACATCCTCATCGCATTCGACTAGGCAGACTTCTGGCACCGCGTGTCCAAATCATTCGAACGTCTTTGCGCGCGTGCTGGGGGGGCACAGTCCCAGTCAAACGCGCTACGCGGGCCACTCGCGCGCGTCGGCCGCGCGCGCATGTCGAGCCCCTTTCCAACGCTTTCATCGCCGATTTTGACCTGTTGAGTTTCTACCGTGCGCGCACAAATTGCAATATTCGTCGCGCGGCAACGGTCGCGAGACGAGCGGCGCGAGCGGGAGCGACATGTCGATTGAGCTGGCCTTCTGTTCGATCCTTTTTGGAATTGACTGCCACCGGTCGGTCTAAATAAACAAAACCTGCATCGCCGATGTGAGCATTGCGTCATTGTCGTCGGCGTGATCAGCATCGGTGCCATCATCCACTTTGCCGCCGTCATCGTCACCATCGTCTCCATTATCGCTTCTTTCATTATCGTATCTACCGTTGTCGATGTCGCCATGGTTCGGCGGCCGCCAATGTCACCGACTCACACTGCAGTGCCCGCTGGGAGGTGCCCAGCGGTCAGCGCCACCGCGGCCGCGTCGGTGGCGCCAACCTAGCTCGCCGATGTGCGCGCGAGCGCGCGCGGGCCAGCGCGGCCGCAGAGATGCACCAGCCAACACCACGCACTCATCGCAATCGCCGCCGCATGGGTTTTGTAAACCCAGCTGCGGGCGACTGGGGGGGATGATTGCGCGAGCATGCAGCTGACAACTCCAAGTTTTTCAGACTTGCCTGCAGTACATTGATTGCGCCACATACGTTGAGCGCGTTGGTTAAGGAATGAATTGGGGAGACTCCAATTCTTGGAGGGGCCCTTCTCTGTTGGGTGCGGTGACGACTTCCTTGGCCAAGCCTCCATTCGAATTCCACCGGTTTCCAGATCTTGGGTTCCTTATCCAATGGCGCGTTATCCAATAGTCCGCAATAGAATGCGCAGCATACATCGCATACCGCGAATTATTTACACCGCATATATTGCACAACGTATATTGCACAGTACAGATCGCGCAACGTAAATTGCACAACGTAGGTCGCACACAACATGTAGCGCACTTTAGATCCACCACGTAAAGTGCACCACGCAGGCTGCAGGTTGCAATGCTGCGTAGCTTGTACAACATACAATTACAGATGCACGCTGTTCGGGGTCCACGCAGGCTAACACTATGCCACTATGGGCGCGATGCGTCATGCTCGCAGCCAGAGCATTGGTTGCGAGATGAAGAGTATGATGCTTCTCGTGGCTTTGGAACAGGTGTATGTGTGTGGCTGTGGAGAACCGACCCACTTCTTTTCGAAGGCATTTGCGGAGTTTTTTTCATGTATGCATCGTTCCATTGTTTCTTGCCCCCTGTCCTCGTACCTTTCGTGTCTCGGTCCAGCTGCCCCTTCTTTGCGCATATTCTCTTTGTTCGCCCTGCGCCGTCTTTCTCGTTTGTTCCCCATCATCCTGTTGAGTTGGGTCCTCGTTTTGAAGAGACAGCGCCCCGCGTCACACTCCTTTTCCTCTCCCTCCTCCCTCCTCTTTCCTCCTCCCCCTCCTCTTTCCTCCTTGCGTTTCACCCACACAGCACAGCGTTTCGTGGCCCGATAGGGAGCTCCACCGACGGCCCTAGTGCCACCACCCGCATGCGTCACCCACACCCATTTCGGCACACCCTTCACACGCTTCGTGGCCCCATAGGGAGCTTCACCGAAGGCCCCAGTGCCACCGCCCGCATGCGTCAACACTGATTTCGGCACACCCCTCACACGCTTCGTGGCCCCATAGGGAGCTTCACCGACGGCCCCAGTGCCACCGCCCGCATGC